CCCTCCCTCAAGCTTGCTTTTGCAAACTCTTTTCCATTTCACCCAGTTAATGACTCTCTTATCTTCCTCCCCCCCCTCCCCATAAGAAATTACGTTTAAGTTTATCAAGAGTATGAGTAATACCTTTAGGAAGCAGATAAAACGACATGAGGAAGACCGGAAGATTGGATAGCACAGAGTTGAGAAGGGTAATTTTCCCGCCAAAGGACAAGAATCAATTTTTCCAGGCACTGAGTTTCTTTTTGAAGTTTTCGATCAAATCTTTCCAAAAGCCCAGTCGTCTTGGATTACCTCCCTCCTTTATTCCTAGGTATTTGAAAGGCATAGATCCCAGTTGGCAATTAAGAAGGAATCCCATCTTCTTTAGCCAATTAGTGTCTGCATGAATCCCCATAAGCTGGCTTTTTCTGTAGTTGATCTTCAATCCAGAGACAATTTCAAAGGTCCTTAAAATGCACTTTACTGCCCAAAGGTTATCTTCGGTAGCCTTCCCGCAAATCAATGTGTCGTCTACAAATTGTAGGTGAGTAACCTTGAATCCTTGTGTCCCGACTTCGATTCCCTTTAGCATCTCTCGGCTAACAGCTGTACTGATGAGTCCATTCAACCCTTCAGCTGCTATGAGAAATAGAAATGGAGATAAAGGATCACCTTGGCGAAGACCCCTGCTAACTGAAATTTGTCGCGTGGCAGAACCATTAATAAGAAAGGAGACTGTACTGGTGGATAGACATTCCATGATCCAATTTGCCCACTTGTCACCAAACCCCATTCTTTTAAGCATGTAGTTGAGGTAGCTCCAGCTGACCTTGTCAAATGCTTTTTCAAAGTCAAGTTTGAGTATAAAACTACTTTTCCTCCTTCTTTTGGCTTCATCAATCACTTCATTGGCAACCAGGACCCCATCAACCAATAGTCTGTCCTTGACAAAGGCAGTTTGTTGAACCCCAATCACGCTACCCATTACCAGCCTTATCCTATTAGCTAGTAACTTTGCAATGATTTTGTACATGGAGCCTATAAGAGAAATGGGCCTAAAATCTTCAATTTTTTGGGGGTTGGATGTCTTTGGAATCAAGACAACAAATGAAGCATTAGACCCTTTTACTAGCTTCCCATTTGTGTAGAATTCATCAGCAAACCCAATGATGTCCTGCTTGATTACCTCCCACATCTCTTTGAAGAATTTGAAATTAAATCCATCCGGACCTCGAGCTTTGGAGTTATCACAATCCCAGACAGCTTTGTAGATTTCCTCTTCAGTAAATTTAGCAGAGAGCATGCATGATTCAGCTTGGGAGATTTTATTGAAATGGATGCCATCAAGTGTCAGCCTTTCCCATCCTTCATCTTTGAACATGTCTTCAAAGCAATGTTTTGAAAACCGACCCGGAGGTCAAACCGTTTTGACCTCCGGTTCTCAGTTTGACCGGTTTAACTGGTTTAACCGTTCAAAACACCGGTTTAACCGCATATGAATAACTATAAGATGGTGTGATGATTTAACAAGGCAAGTGTAGTGGCTGGATTGGTTCGTCACTTCACC